GATACTCTGAGAATAGTCCTTTTGGGATAACACAATGGGATACCTTTAAAAAGATACCCTGGTGTAGACCCAGAGTGGAACTTCTTTTGGGATACCAGTTTCGGATGAAAGCTGGAGGTCTGTATGCGTTCACACTGCACCATAGGGCACCAATCCATACTGTACTCGAGACGTTCATGACACTTACATCTATAATGAATGTTTATCACCCTAAGAATACAAACCACATGGTGACTACTTATAAAACGAATATTTCTACTCCATTATCAATTCTATCTACAAATCACATTTACGCTGGACTCCAACAACAATTCAGTAGCACAACAACTAATGACTTTCCTTGACTGTTGTTTATTATTCTTATTTACTTTTTACTACACTTTACTCATATCAGTTTTTAATATTTTTCCACTTTGAGGCTCTTTGTTTTCCTCTGGACATCTGTCCTTTTGTACTTTTATCTCACTCTGCTAAACTCTTTTTAACTTATTATTCATCCCTAAGGCGTACACTGCTCGGTGCAGCTTCACTAAAATGCATTGCATTTACAAAAAGCAGCTGCAGCTGTTCCAGTCAATAATCCTGTTGCTATAGCCGGAACAACTTTTGACGCAATTAGACTTCCAATTATTCCTAGTAGAGGTAGAAATCCACCATTTACTTTAGCATTATGTTTAAGTTGTGCTCTACTAAGTGAAAGTGTTATACCAATACCTTTTATATATGCTGCTTTCATTCTGTTTATTTGCGATTCTGTTAAAGCTATTTTATGCTCACCATCTAGATCTTGATGTGATAGTTCTATTCTAGCATTAGTATCAGATTCAATTGCTTTTTTAATTTTTTCTTTTTGACCTTTTGAAAGATTTATTAGAGTATCATAGTATTTTGTCATTTTTAAATATAAAATAATTTTTTAATTCATTTTATGAATACTTGCTTTGCTAATTCATTTTAATTTATTTAATAGATTGCTTTCTGCAATGCTTTATACTCATCATCATCTATATGACCTAGTCTTAACAGCTCATCACAAATAGCAACAGTTTCATTTCTAACTCCAGTATTACCAGCTTGTAAAGCAGCTAAGTGTAATTTAAGCATATCAAATAGTGCATTTGGATCACTAGGAAGAATGATAACTCCTTTTCTAGACTTTCCAATCATCTCTTCCCAAATAGGTTTTATTACATTAGTGTATTTATAACTTCTAGATGATCTTGGTTTAGCTGAATTTAAATCAGAGCGAATTGCATCTGTTTGATCTAAAATTTCTTTATACTTATTACGATCATCGTTAGTATATTTAACAGGATGAGATTTTACTATGATCTCCCAAAGACCAGGTGTTCCAATGTATTTTTTATCTTCAATAGTTATATCATTACCTTTAATAGTAATTGGTTTTTTACCAATGTAAAATTTTTTATTATCTTCATTGTAATGTATACCAAATATGTCATCTGATACTTTTTTACTATTTTTAGCAGTATATAACTTTAGATACTCTGCTGCGATAGCTCCTAATGACATGTTATTTACAACTTCAGGTGGCATAATTGCTTTAGTTTCAGTAATATATTCAGGATTTAAAAAAGTAATAGCTAATTGATCAGCTTTATTTTCTAATTTAGATAAGCCTTCTTTTATTCCAGATTGACTATCTATTATTGGTTTGTACAATTTTTCCAAGTTAGTCTGTAAAGTATCATAACCTAACTTTTCATTAATTGAATCTTGATATACACTTTTCTTTAACCCATCAAGTTCTTTTGCTAATTTTAATCTTGCTTCAATATCTGTAGCTTATACATACGACATTTTATATAAATAATATTTTTTTTTAAATCAACATATAATGTTCAAGTAATACATAATATATGTTTTTTATTCAATTCTTAAGAGTATTATTCATCATTCCTATACTTTGATTCTTGTTAAATCTCATATTTAACGCTTCTATAATATCACTTGTACCTTTTTCTATTCCTTTATTAAATATTGACTCTTTAGCCTGCTCATCTATATTATTTTTAGATTTTGTTCTAATTTGTTCAGTCATAGCTTGAAACTTTTCAAGTTCTGAAAGTATCATATTAAATTCTGCATCATCAATATATTGATCTGATATAGCTTTAGAAATAAGACTACTTATTGTATTTAGTTTTGCATCAGCTAGTACTTTAATCTTTTCATGCTTTTCTGCTTTTATTGTTAATTTTTTAATAGCTTGTGATCCTATTAATGATAATACACCCATACCTAATGCTGCAATTTCACATCCAATAGCTACTGGTGATCCAATTATCGTTGTTAAAAAGCCAATACCAACAGCTCCAAGTGTCATTGTGCTAGCTAGTAATGAATTATCAATAGCTGAAACTATTCTTAAAGCTTTGTAATATTTCTTACTTAAGATCTCTCTTCTAATTCTTTCACATTCTATCTTATTTTGAATTTCATTTATTTTAACTAATCTAAATTTCTGATCAGATAGTGGTGGTGCAGATGGATTTTCTGAAAACTGGTTAAGATCTGGATAAAGCTGTTTACATTCATTATTACATTGCATTTCTTTTTTCTATAAAGAAAAATTTGTTTTAAATCACTTTTATTTACCTTATTTAAATCTACCTTTACTTTTATTTAAATCACTTTTATTTACCAAAATCAAATAGAGCTTTGTCAGATTTATCTATACTAGGTTTATCTTCATCACATATAGTTTCTTTAATTATTCCCCCTATACTTGATAATATAGATTTTACAGATTCTTTATCACTTTGTGATTTAGTTCCTGAGCTCCTTTGTGATCTAACTTGTTCTACTTTTTTATCAAGTTCTGATATATAATTTGCATTAAAAACATCATTGTAAGATGAAATACAGCATAACAAATCTCCTTTTTTAATGTTTATATCTTTATTATCATTATTATATAAAGTTATTTTAATATCATCAGTAGACTCTATTACAACAGAATTTAGTAAATTTAGAGTAGGTTTATAATTTTCTGCAAGTGAAATCAATACATGTCCTTTATCTATTTTAACTCCACACATTAAAGAAATGCTATTATATGAATTTGATTTTACTGTAAAATCTTCTTGTGCAAATACTTTAATATGTCTATCATTTATTGATCTATGCTCTATATCTGAATTAATATTAAAAGTTATTGTATATTTTTCATGCTTTTCATAATCTAAAAACATTCTTCTATTATACATTTTTTTATAAATGTAAAGATTTTTTAAATCACTATGTGATCCCTAGATCACAAAGAGACCTAAGTCATAAATATTAAATCTAATATTTTTTTCATTTTTTTAAAGTTCTTACAATGTAATTTACAATCTGTTCATTCTCATGTAAATAATAACACTTTTTATTATCATTAACATTTTTATATAAAGTTATTTTTTCACCTTTTTTATTTTTCATTATTTTCTTTTCTGTTAATTTATATAGTTTAAAAGGACAATTCTCTACGTTTTCTTTAATTTCAACTTTAGTATGAGCATATTTACATTTATCTTTTAAAGGACACTCTTTTTTATCAAGAATATATTTGCATAATTTAGTTTTTGCTTTTCTTAATTTTAATAATTCTGACTTTTTAGGATGAAATAATCCACACTCTTTATTCTTGCATTTAGGATATTCTGAACATATAGAAATATGCTTATATCTGCATGAAGCTTTAGTGCATATTAATCTTTCTTTTACAGTATTACAATAAGGAATATCATGGTTGTATTTACATTTTCTTCCAAAAGGGCAAAAATCATCTTTTAATATATTTTTACAAAAAATAGGTAACTTTTCTACAAAATGAATTGCAGAAGGTTTTCCATCTTCAGTAAAATTAATTTCAATATTAAATGGTTCTTCAGAACTAAATTTTCTATTTTTGTTATGTTTTTTAACAAAAAACTTATCTATAGCAGGAAAATCATCATTAATAATATCATTATAAGTTGGAACATAATTAATCCATTTCAGTTTATCTTTATACAATTCCATAATTTTTACTGTTTTTGAAGGAATTGGAACTATACATTTTTCTTGAATTTCATCTTCATCAGAATCATCAGATATAAAATAAGTATCATTTTCAGAGTCATAATCAGATTCTTCAAATTCAAAGTTTCTTATTTCTTCAAAAAGTCTAAATTCTTTTTGAAATTCAGATATTTCATTATTCTCATCATAATACATTTTTTATTTTATTATTTGATAAAATATTTTAAAATAAAAAAAATTTAAAATAAGTTAAATTAATTTTCTTATGTATATAAAAGAATGGATCTAGAAAAGAAACTTGAAGAATTATGCTTAAACTTTAAATTAATAGATGAAAGATTAAGGTTAATAGAAGAAAAATTAAATATTATTGATACTCATGATATTGAAATGACTGAAGATTCTGAAGTTACTACAGTTACTACTACTGAAGTTACTGAAATTACAGAAACTACTGAATATGAAGAAGAATCAGATTCTGAAGAAGATGAAGATGATGAAGATAATGAAGATAATGAAGATGATGAAGATGAAGAAGTTACTACAATTACTACAGTAACTACTGAAATTACAGAAACTACTGAATATGTTAATGAAGATGATGAAAGTACACATAATTAAATATTTTTCATTATTTTTTTTTTGTAAAAAAAAATAAAAAAATTGAAAATGGAATTAGAAAATAATTTTAAGATTAATGAAATTTTAAAAAAATATGAGTATAAACAGGGTAATAAGGTTGATTTTGCTGCAAAAATAGGTAGACTTGATTTAATTAAATTATTAGTTCAATTGGGAGAAAAAGGGACAGAAAAAGCAATTGATTTTGCTGCAGAAAAGGGTCGCCTTGAAGTACTTAAATATTTACATTCTATAGGATATAAAGGTTCAGATCGGGCATTTGATATTGCTGCAGAAAAGGGTCGCCTTGAAGTACTTAAATATTTACATTCTATAGGAATAAAGGTACAGATATGGCAGTTAATTTTGCTGCAGAAAATGGTTACTTGGAAGTACTTAAATATTTACATTCTATAGGATATAAAGGTACAGATCGGGCATTTGATTTTGCTGTAAGAAATGGTTACTTGGAAGTACTTAAATATTTACATTCTATAGGATATAAAGGTTCAGATCGGGCATTTGATTTTTCTGCAGAAAATGGTTACTTGGAAGTACTTAAATATTTACATTCTATAGGATATAAAGGTACAGATCGGGCATTTGATTTTGCTGCAGAAAATGGTTACTTGGAAGTACTTAAATATTTACATTCTATAGGATATAAAGGTACAGATTGGGCAGTTAATTGGGCTGCAAGAAATGGTTACTTGGAAGTACTTAAATATTTACATTCTATAGGATATAAAGGTACAGATATGGCAGTTAATTTTGCTGCAGAAAATGGTTACTTGGAAGTACTTAAATATTTACATTCTATAGGATATAAAAGTACAGATTTGGCAGTTAATTTTGCTGCAGAAAAGGGTCGCCTTGAAGTACTTAAATATTTACATTCTATAGAATGTAAAGGTACAGATTAATACTTTTTGATACACGTAGTGACTATAAATTCTAGTAGAGATAAAGTTAAGCAATGCTTCTACACATAAACAAAATTTTAAATAAATAAATCCCAGCGCATGCGCACAAGAAACAGCAAGAAAAGTCACGTGACCTGTGACGTCATTTTTCGACAAGAAATAAAAATTAACACTTATTTAAAAAAATTCAATTTTTTTTCATTTTTAAAAATTGAAAATTTTATTTCTAATCTAAATAATTTATACACAACATGGATAACATTGAACCATATATTAATATTAATATATGGTTGAAAATATGGTTAAAAATGAAAATGAGCTAGAACCGGCATTTCCTATCTACTTTCGTGAACTATCAATTTATTATATAGAACTTTTGCATAATAGCCATTTTGCCTATAAGTTTTTGCTTGTGCAAATATTTCTTTACGAATTCTTCTAGTTGTTTCACTAAAATCCTCATTAATATATATATTAGTACCTTTTAGTTTGTTCGCTTTATCCATAATTATCGCTTTATCTTCAAAGTCATGCTTTAGCACAATCGTTCGCACTCGTTCAAAACCACCATTACCAACTCGATGAGCACGTTCAATCCTAATATCATTTGCAATTTCAAGATTTTCAACAATAAATTTTTTGACTTTTTTTTTAGTGTTTTCCCAATCTTTTTCATTCACACATTTTTTTCAATGAGTCCATCAATTCGTAAGTTATTTCGTCTGTTTCTATCCTTTAGGATGTTGTGTATTTAATCCTTTAATCAATTTCTTGCGAATATCAAGCCATTTACGCTAAAAATAGAAAAGAATAGGGTGTGGCATTGATGTTCATCTTTTGCACATGCCGATTGTTCATCTTTTTTTCCGATTGTTATAGAAAATCTAAAATAGAATCTCTAGTTGTAGCGCTTCGTAGCGTTAAGTTAATCTACTGTTGGTTAGGGCGTCGTTCAGTTCGAGTTGATTTGTAATTTTTGCCCCCTCTGATGCAGCTGTAGTGAGTCACTACAGCTGTAGTGAGTCACAGTCGTGCTTCTCCATTTTGAAACCCGTGTTAATAATATCAATAGTAATACTGTCAACGGAATTCCTCTAAAGGTAATGAAACTTTGTAAAGATTTATGTTCAAAATACTATGGAATGATGTGGTAATAAACAACTTTTATCCCAAGGAGTTTAAAAAAGCAGACACAACACCAAATTTTATGAAAAATGATCCAATTCTATGCGACTTCTTATTAGACTAGTTCAAAAATGGTCAGTCTCCCTTGATAACAAACGCGCCGTTTTTAAAGATAATCGCACCGTTTTTTAAAATAGTTTTTTTTTTGTAAGAAAAACATTAACAAATAAAAGCTATAACAAGAAAATTGAAATGAGTAAAGAAAAGAAAAAAACGTAATTATTTTTGGTAAACCGTTGTCATTTAAAAAGTTAGCTATTGCTTCACTTATTATTTGCGTATTTCATTAAACCCCACAATTCTCCTTTTTTACTGATAACAAATTTCCTTTTTTACTGATAACTTTTACGATAATTTAACTGTCGTTTAATATATTGCACATCTCACTAGTAGTATTTCTCTCAAGTAGTATTATCTCACTAGTAGTATTATCAAGGGGAGTTTTCCATTTTTCAACTAGTCTAATAAGAATATTTTGTGTGTTAAAACCTTTTCGATAACCGCAAAGAAAAGGAGATAAATAAATTGATATTTATTTAAGAATATGAGTTAGTAATAACCTCTCAAATATTTTTGAAACACCGGCTTAAACAGGTCTTTAGTTCTCGCATAGAATTTGATCATTCTTAAAAATTGGCGTTATGTCTGCTATGTTAAACTCCTTGGGAGTTGATGTGGTAATAAATGTTGCTTATTACCACATCAATATTCCATTTTAAATAGTACTTTGAACATTACTCTTCACTAAGCCATAGAGAGGAATTCCATCGAGAGTATTATTATTAATATTATTAACACGGGTTTCGAAATGGAGAACCACCACTGTCAGTTTCTAAAAATAAAAAAGGTTCTTTGGCAAAATAGTGGGGGACATGTGCCTCTAGCCACCCGGTGTCGTTGGTCCTGTGCTTTTTAACTCATTTTTGAGTTCTTGTTCAAAAAGGAATTCATCAAATTGCTTGTAATCTCTATATATTGTTTTTTTTTTTAGGTTTTATTCGTGTAAAAGAACATTTCAAAACTGTTACGACAGTTTTATGAAAATCCGATAGAACATTGATAGAAATCCGATAGTTTTGTAGAAAATGCTTCAGTACAATAAAAATAAGTTTGGCAACCCGTTATGATCAAGTCTATACAGCTTGGATTATTTATGTTTTTGAAACAGGTTTTAACATTGACAATATTCTTTAAATTGTAATTCTTCAAAAATTTTCATAAACATTTTTCTGAGTTTCGCTTATTAAAATCACCAACATATATAAATTTATCATATGTTAACGAATAAAAATCAATTGAAAAACCAATGTTTAGTAGATAATAACTATCATCTTGGCTTGGAGGTTGATATTTTGCTAATATTAACCTTTCGACTGCCTTAAATTAACTTCAATACATCAGTCTTAAATGTTTTCATTAAACTTAAGATTTGAAAGTACCCTACTTTTTATTTCTCGTTTGATATTTACAAGTATTCTACATCCATTTTTATTTTTGTCTTTTCTATATGGAATGACATGACTTTCAACCAAAAATTGCAAAATTTGATAGGATGAATCTAGTTTAGTTTCTGTAGTGATAAGTTGTGAGAATTTTTTGAGAACTGCAAGTCTATCTTGTTGAAAACTTAGTTCTACTGAAAAAAATGTTTGTAGTTTTGATTGGTTTGAATTTGATTTTAAAAGTGGTAATCGTTAATCGTGGTAATCATTATTCGTGGTAATCGTTAATCGTGGTAATTGTCAATCGTGGTAATCGTTAGACTTTTATTGCTTAATCATTACTTTGTTCCATTTTTTGTGCAATAAAAAAAATTTAAATCTTCATTCATTATTCATTTTCAATATGGTTTGAGGTTGGCAGCGGTATTAACCTAGCAAAAATAATGATGTTTTTGTCATATTGGTAAATGTTTTTCCTATTGTTTATACTCTCGGATTGATTTTCACTAAATATCATTTTCACTAAATATTTTAAGTTGACGCTCTTAACATCAAACCTGTCTTAACATCAAACCTGGAGATAAGGAAAGATTACTCACATCTGCTTTGAAAAAAGGCCCAAAAAAGTGTCAAAGAGCAAGAAACTAGCTAGAGGTAGCTAAAAAGTTGCTTTAGTGAGGCCGCGTGCGTATACTTATAGGAGAGTTAAACTCTTTCCTTTTTTATAAACTCTTATAAGTATAAACTCTTTCCTTTTTTTTTTTTTTTTTTTTTACACTGGCGTATTTTTTTAAATAATAAATACATTTCATTTCTTTGTGTATCTTTTGAAAATCCTGTTTATTAACTGATTTAAACGTAACCAAAACATAAATTAATACCATTGTTTACGTTATCTGTATTGGTACTTTTTTCGTTACGTAGCAAAAAGGTTTATCTATTTTTGTTTCCTGTTGAGTAGTTAATGCAGAAATTTTTTTTTGAAACATTTAAAGCAAAATCGGTATCGTCACGGCACAGTGCACCTTTCGTTAGTGATTTAATAATATCAGATTTTAAGTCAACCTCGTTTCTTTAAAAATATACTTAATACTCTTCCGTATTCTTCCAGTTTTTAATAAGTATCAGGTCAAATTTTGAAGAAACATTGTCATTTATTAAATACTTGTTTATCAGCAAAACTTGACTTGGATTTCAGAAGTGATTTTAAAGCAGTCTTTAAGTTAGAAAATAGTTCACTTAACTCACCACTTCAGTGAGCTTGCATACTTGGTTGCTGCTGAATTGATTAAACTTTGATTTGGTACGATTATCAAATTCTTCATATCCGTTAAGAAAATGTCTAATTTTTCAGTTATATCAATTGAATTTCCATTGATAGTTACAAATTGTTGCTTTTATCTTTATTAAAGTTTTCTCTTGCTTGCTTTTTTTTGTGATTTTTTTGTCCGCACACTAAAAAAAAATCTTGGTGATTGATCATTATTTATTAATGTTTTAAATTACATCAATATTTCAATATTAAATTTTTGTCGATGGAAGATGAGGAATCGAGCCAAAACAGAGAATCAAGCAAAATTGAAAAACCATTGACGGTAAGCTTTCTTCAAAATATTTTTCCTGCAAATTTAACGAGCGTGCTCCCTTTTTGTACATGAGAAGAAAATTCTGTTTGGACTAAGACTCATACAAACCTTAATATTTAAGAAATAGTTATGAAGCAGGACCTTTCATCAAAGCTTTATTCAAACTACCCAATAAGCTGCCATAGTTGTTCCTTTAGCTCAAGTTATGATAAACTATATAAATAGAACAATATAATTTTTTTAAAAATAGTTAAACTTATGGCGACATATGACCCAAATATGGAATATCATGTTTCCAAAGCAACGGAAAATGCAAATAAAACGAATTTATACAAAAATATTCAAAAAGATATTATTCAGTTAGTGGCTTCAGTTAGTGCTACTAAGGCAAGAATCCTTTAAAAAAAATCGGAAAGCCAAATACTACTCTGTTATTGCGAATTGCACACTAGATGCCAGTCATCAGGAGCGATTAACTCTTATTATACGATATCTAATGATTAAAAAAACGAAACAATATAATGGTGGTCCATATCCGATAGGGTTTCTTAAATTTTATTATTATTAATTATAATCATAGACTTGTAAATTTTTCTGATTTTTCCGTAGCAATATATGCGATAAATTAAAAAACTTATATAAACAAAATTTAATTTTGCAGGTAATAAATTGGACCTAAAAATTGTGGTTAAATTGAATAAAATTAAACTTCTACTTAAAGATATGAAAAAGATCAAACAATCTACAATGATGTAAATATGAGAGGCAAAAACATTAGCTTAAAAAAAAAATTTAAGATATAAATAAGAAAGCAGTCTTTATCTCTTGTACAACACATTTACTTTATCTTGTTGCTGTTTAATTTGTAAAAATTGTGACATTTTTAAAAAAAATTCAGAGCCTTTTTAACTTTTATATTGGTTCCAAAAAACAATGGGATATTTGAGAATCAAAGTGCAGATAACTTGCAGTTAAATCTTAAAATGACACAGCGGGAGAGTCACATCAATAAGTGACACATGGTAGGAGAGTCACATTAATAAGTTACACATAGTGGGAGTGTCATATTAATAAGTGACACATGATGGGAGAGTCACATCAATGCTGTGAATGCGATCAAGAGAAATATGCAAAAAATTTATTATACGTTGCGCAAAGTTGTCAAAAGTGAAATCGATAGAAACACAAAATTATCAGCCAAATCTTTTGCTGTTAAAATAGATAGTTTCAAATATATATTTGGAATGATTGTTAGGGATGATTTACTCAACTAAATTATATGCAAACAGAATTATGTAGTCAAGTTCACCAAAAGTAAAATTTTACTTCACGACATTAAAATCCACGGTAACATTTTTGGAATCCAATTACAATCAGACCAAATTAGCACAGCACTATTTTTAGCAACAACTTCGGATATAACATTTGAATTTACGGATCTGTCAACGGAAAGAGTCAGGAAAAAAAAAGTTTATAGACGAAGTTGAAGCAAACCAAGTTTCTGTTTTGAAATCCAGATCAAAGTTTCGAACAAACATGTCACCGTTTCAGTTCTTATTTTAAATGCCGAATATTTTATAGACGTGGCAAGATATAATGAGAGATAATTTTTATGCGGTAGTGGTGTAGTGGTAGAGCGCTCGCTTCATAAACGAGTGGTTCCGAGTTCGATCCCCACCACGTCCCTGGTAGTACCGCGCTCAACTCGTTTCTCCGCGCAGCGGCCTTGTTCGTCAAGGTTAGTGTTTCGGAGTTATAGAGTTGAGAGAGGGTTATAGCCACGAATAAGTAGCCTCCTCGTCTGTAGTGGCATTCTCGGCCTTGAGGAGGTGAATTAAAATAAAAAAATAAAAAAATTCTATGGAGCTGTCCATTGATTACGTCAGTAAAATAGGGGGAGGAGGGTTCTTGAAATTTTTTTTACAATTTTTGACCAGGGGGAGGGGGGGGAAAGGTCAAGGAAAGTTAAAGTCAGCAACGTTGCTTTTTTAATTAAATTTAGTTACTTCGTTACTTGTTATGCATACTTATTTAATAGTCATGCATACTGGCCGAGAAAAAAGGTATCAAAACAAGACTATTACATGTCAGGATCAGATGACCTGCCACTTGCAATTAAAGTTGCTCATCTAGAGAGAGATCTTGGAGTTCTTATCTCAAATTATCTTAAATGTAATGTTCAAGTTTTAGCAGCTGCGGTGAACGCTAACCGCTCCTTAGAGAGGCTGAAAAAAACTTTTCGCAGCCGTAGTTTTTCAGTGTGGAAAGGTCTTAGGGATCGTCCGTAAATTTCATAATGTGAAATTGAACTTATAGAAAAAAGGCAAATTGTTAAAATTCTTTCATCACAGAGTCTTTAATTAAACCAAGTATATAAACAACCTTTCAAGTCCAGCAAAAACCGCCGCGCAAAAGAGCCAAATGATCTCCTACTAATATTTTTTAAATAAGTTTTGCGTTTGTAATTTATCGACAATCCCTTACGACACTTGAAGAAAGAAGAATAAAAGGTGATTTAATTCTGATGTTCAAGTCCATGCGTGATTTTGATGAAATAATCTTTCACGTTTTATTCAATCTTCCTTTGTCGTCAAAGTATATTAAATCTTCCATCGTCGTCAAAGGTCATAATCAAAGACTTGCACAGCAAAAAGTACTCAATTGCATGCCAAGAGAGAAATTTTTCACGAACCGTGTTGTGTTGCAGTGCCGCAAATAATAATTGACGCGACTTCCGTCAACATTTTCAAAAATCGATTAGATGAGCATTTAAAATTGTTAAAAAAGAATTTTTAAACGATAACTGAAAATAAACTCTCTCATATATGCAGCATATCTTTGTTGGTAATTTAATCATAGTGAACATTCATGATTTTAAATTTATTAGGGATTGTTGTAAATATTTTAAATTATTGACCATTAAGATAAACTAAACTAAACTTAAAAAAAAAAATTAGGCAGCGATTGTAGTCTTGTGTTACATACTCACCCAACCTTTAGTATTTTAATGATATTTTCTATATTGTACTTGTTTTTAAACCGAGTTGTGCTTTAAAAATGCCTGATACATACTGTACTAAATGAGCACACGCGAGATGCTTACTCATAACACTATTATTTTTTCAAAGTTTGTGTTTGTAAGCCTGATGTAAAAACAAATAAAGATTTGTGCAAGTACATAATCTACATTATATTATTTAAATTTTTATACCAGAATACACAGTTTTCGAAATTGCCAAAAGTTGTAAAACCCACTCATGTTAACAAACACACAAAAATTTTGAGTAAACAAAATCAAACTAATTAACCGCTTAAAAACTACTAGGACAAATGATTTTTTCTGCCCAAATAAGATGCACGAGTTTGTTCTAATCATTTTAAAGATAAAGAGCCTAATATAAAAAATCTTTATCTCACTGAGAAACTTGGATATCCCACTGAGATTCTAGGCATAAAATTGCTCTTTTGTGCCCTAGCTCTCGACCTTTAAATAGTATAATAATAAACAGTATAATAAAAAACCTCTAAACAGTATAATAAATACTGACTACACACAGCCTTTACTTAAAAAATACAAATCAAATGTAAAATCTAATACATACTTTAATACAATAGTTGATCAAAATCAAGACACCAGTTCTGTTAAACAGTTATGTTCTAGTTCCTTGTTAGTTAGTGTCAACTTCGCTACAAAAAACCCTGTTGACTTTTTAATTGAACCAGAACCAGTGGTAGTAGTAGATAAAGAAGAAAATAATATTAATTCACTTTTTAATCATAATGAGTTCACTCAAGCTCAAGAATCAACTTTTTTTATAAGCAGTTTAAAAAAAACTTACAAAAATTAAATCACAATCTTAAAAAATTAAATTAAATCAAACAAAAAATTACAAATTATAATTAAAGACAAAGTCAAAAATAATCTTCAAAAAAAAGTCTATAAAAATTATTAACAAATGACAAGAAGTGTAACTTTACACAAACATTCCTTTCCTGAAAGTTTTTCACATTCTTCACGACCTTATAAAACCAATTGTACATCGTTGATTTAATTACAAAACTGAAATGAAATGTTCTCCTAAAAAAAAACTAATAAAATGACGCCTAAAAAACTTAGAAGATGCAGAAAATTATGTTCACAAGATGAGTTTTTACTTGTTCTTATGAAATTACGTCTCGGACTTTTAAGCAATGACCTAGTTTATAGATTTAGTGTTTTTCTTGGCACTGTTTCAAAAATATTTAAATCATGGATGAGAGGCATGTCACAGTATTTGAAATCATTTGTTTGCTTTCCAGACGAAGAAAATGTTTGCTTGAACCATCCTGATTGTTTTAAAAATAATCAAAGTCTGTTAAGAATATTTGATTGCTCTGAAATTTTTATTGAAACACCAAAAGAATTAGAACTGCAATCTGCAACATGGTCTGAGTACAAGCACCACAATACAATGAAGTTCCTTGTATCAGTTACATCTAGCTCTTTCATAAATTTTGTTTCGGAAGCATATACTGGAAAAATATCAGATAAAGCAACAACATTAAATTGTGACTATCTTACGAAATTCCCTCCTTATTCTTCAATCATGGCTGATAAAGGTTTTAATATTGCTAGTGAGCGTGCTGCTTATAGGATTACCTTTATTTCCCCACCTGGAAAGCGAGGAACTTCTCAAATGACACCTGAAGAAGTAGTAAAAAGGAGTAATATTGCTAAACTCAGAATTCTGATTGAACAGATAATTAGGAGAAAGTAAATTTTTCGAATAATTGGACAATAATTTCCTATATCACTTCTTGATAATCTTAATGACATTATCGTGATTTGTGCAGCTCTTTCCAGTTTTAATCATGAATAACACTTTATCGATGCTCCAAAACAAAAATTTGTTAGTCCAAGTATATATATATATATATATATATATATATATATATATATATATATATATATATATATATATATATATATATATATATATATATATATATATATATATATATATATATATATATATATATATATATATATATATATATATATATATCGCGACGTTAGAATTATCTTGTGCTATCTCCATGTTTATGCAAACTGAGAAAATCGATGTCAAAGTTTGAATTTGTTTGCAGCTAAATTGAAAAAATATTTTGAGAATTTAGGTATTTCCTAAGATTTAAAAATGTTTTATTATTAATTTTTAGATAAAAAAAACTTTTTAAAATTACGCTAACGCCCTTTTTTTCGCACCCTCTTTTGGAGATAGAACAAAATAACTTTGGTTTTTAGTAAAATTCAAAAATATTATGTTGTTACATCATATATATTAAACATATTAAATACATTTTTCAACAACGACATGTTAGAAGTTGATGAAATTTTGTTCTACCTGCTAATTATTCTTACGCAGTACCATACACTCCTAATTTATAGGCATGGGCCCCTAAATTAGGGGCATGGGCCCCTAATTTAACGGGACCCTTTTCAAAATATAAGACGCTTTTTGTATTACCTAAAAAATTAAGTTTTTTTAAATAAAATGAGGCCCTAATTAGGAGAACTTTTAGAAGAGCCTCTAACGACACTGTTCTTACGACTTACATTTACTTTAATTACCTGTAGGCGCCGGCCCTGGACAAGACTAAGACGTCTAATTTAAAACTGAAAATTTGGCTGCGTAATAATAATATAAACGTATTAATATAATATAAACGTATAAAATAAATTATGAAAGGTATATAGGAAAGAGTTATGTTAAAAAAAATGTAATAATAAAAGAAATAACATTATGTAACTATCTGATAATTCACAACAATTCAACTAATCTAATCACAAACTCCATGCAAGATGAACTTGATTTTATTTTTCTTATGCCTGTGTATCCATTAATAGAGTTTAACTTTTTATTAAAAGTTATTGCAAATATTTACAAATAAAAAATTGTTACTCAAGTTAACGTCAGGAAGGGCATCAGGTTGTGAAACATTGCTTTAACTCTTTCATAGTGGCCTTTATGTCACTATGGAAAACCATCCAAACCAAACAAGTGGAGGAAAATGAATATAAAAGTACAAAAAAACAAACAAAAAAAACACAAGCTAAACAAAATTTTTTATCAAGATTTCAAAATAATATTATTTCAATGTGTTTTATATTTATATTTATACTAAATAAATATTTTATTTAAATATGTTATTTATATGTATATTATTTATATTATTATATATATATATAATTTATTATATATATGTTATTTATATTTATACTAAACATATAACAACCCTAAAAATATTTTGACTTTATTAATGTTTTGTAAATGTTCAATTTATTATTGTTTTATAAAATGCAATATCAACAGCAGGCATGTATGAATACATGGAAATGATATCATTGGCTTTTGCAACAGATATAGACTGATAAGAAGCACGAAAGCAAGCTGCTATTGGTATATTGGTATTTAATGGTTTTGCAACAATGGTTGATGCTGCTTTCTTGACAGACTTATTTATACGAGCTTGTGAATAATTATCTGAAAACGAGGTTTTAAAAAAAACATGGTATGGCAGTCCGTTTCGATAAACAAGATTTTTAACCTTTGAATAAGGCACTAACTTATAACTTGACAAACCAGCGACAACTGAAAAATTCTTTACATCTCCTAATTGCATTTGGTAAACACAGAAAGGTTTTTTACGGTTTACATTTTTAATAGCTCTTTCTAGCCCAAGTGGACTAAATATTTCTGCAGCAGAGAGGGATTTTTCAATCTGACTATGAATGTTGTCACATTCTTGAATGCTGGAATGACCTGGCTCGCAGAACTTCTGTTCAATTACTTTTATTTGTGGGTATCGTATTATAAATTCACACAAAGCTGCTGACATGAAACTATTGCGGTTTTGTGGTACACATGAATCGAACCAAAGTATGAACTTATTTATGTCAAGGTCAGCCATGATTTTCAAAAGCAAACATGTTACAGCACTGGCTAGATCATTTCCTCCACGACCAGTCATGGCTTTGTGCCAAAGGATGCAATAACCCTTCCTGTTAAGCGAGCAATGACCAGTTAAGTTATAATTTGAAAGTTTTCGTTTGTAATAAAAGTTTCCCACATTAGCTCTAGGCAAATTTAAAACATTTTCAAGGTCAATACAAACAATTGCAGTTTTAGAATCAACATTTTGGCGATCATTTTCACGTTCAGTTTTGGTATCATTCCTTGATTTTATGTGCTTATTATAACTATCTGTTTGTTCATTGCTTGCATTAACAATGTTGCGATACTCATAGCATGTGTCACATAAATCTTTCTTCGGCTTTTGAAATTCTATATTGAACTCGTGATTAAAGATATAATGATACATATGTTCTTTTGCTGGATGTGAGACATTTTCATCACAATATATTTTATAAAGATCATACATTCTACCTATATTTAGTGATCCTTCCATGTATTCTTTATGTGTCTTTTTCCTGTTATAATGAGCATCAATTCTTGGGAAAAGGTTAATATGGTCTCGTACAACTTGTTTAGACTCTTCTAGTAACCTTTTTTTAACATGTTTCCCTGATTTTGATTGCAATGGTGTTCCAGTAGTTAAAGATTTATTAAACTTATGAAAGTAAAACACTCTATGGCTGCTAATATTCAATGTTGAAAGATAATATGATTTACAAACTCTATATTGTGTATTAAAAACAAAAAAGCTATAATAATAAGATGTTTTTCTTCTTGAATTGTCACCAGCAGCTGTCCGACAGCGTTTTTTCTCCAGATTTTCAGTAGTTTTAGAATAGAAATGTTTTTTTCCGTCATCATCTAAGGTCCAAAAGTTATCAAATATTATTTGACGCTCAATCTCAGATATATTGGTTGAACATTTAAATTTACAATTTCTGCAACTTTTTAGTGCAACAATAGATCTTTTTGGCATTTGTTCTCCTTTCGTATTTTTATAAGCTTTACCCGACTGACGTTGGATTTTTCTTACACTTTGTTTCCAACTACTCCTATCAGCTTTACGTTTCCTAGAAATCCCACCATGGGGCGACCGACGAGAAGGTGTAATGCCAAGCAGCTCTAACGATTAAAATATTAATTTTTTATTATGATGTATAAATAATAACTTTTAAATTTAATCTAAAATGGCACAAGCGAAAGTCGAATTCTACTTTTCCAAAATTATAATACAAATTAAGTTGAAAAACTACCTTCGTTTTGATTTAGGGTAGGTTCCATTTCTTGGTCAATATTTGCAGTTGCCATTTTGAAAACAACAAAACTGATAAAATTATTCCGAACAACTTTGTAATTGTAATATGATTGGTTGATTGGAGATAGAACAAGATAATATTTTCAAGTTTGCTCATTAAGGAGATAGAACAATGCAATATTGCATGCAATACCGTGTTAAAAGTTTCATTTTTTTTCAATATAATTAAAGTAGAACAACACAATGCTAAAATATTCGAAAATAATAAAATCTCAATTTTTTCAAAAATTGGAGATAGCACAAGATAATTCTAACGTCGCGATATATATATATATATATATATATATATATATATATATATATATATATATATATATATATATATATATATATATATATATATATATATATATATATATATATATATACATATTATACATGTATATATATATATATATATATATATATATATATATATATATATATATATATATATATATATATATATATATATATATATATATATATATTATACATATATACTATATATATACTATACATATATGTATATATATTATATATACATATATGTATAGTATATATATATATATATTATATATATGCATACATATATATAGTATACAAGGGTTGAATTAACGCATCGCGATTTGCGATATCTGTTAAATTATCTAGTCTTCAAAGTTTCAGTTTATGGAAAACCACGAAATTTACGGAATAGGCGAATAAACTTTAATTTGTTAGTGAAAATGTTATAAAAAACAAAACAATAAATTTATGACTACAAAAGTAATAACACTACAGTGTTGTTACTTTTATAACACTCTTTTAAGGTGGTAGGACTAGAAAAAACCTAATTCTTTTAAAAACTATTGTTATTTCCCAAGAACTTCTAAAAAAGTTTGAATTTATGTTAAAAATTATTTGACAATTTTTTTTTATTAATTTGCCTCGCCTACCCATACTTATATAAAAAAATAAACCAAAAAATAAGGAAATTTTAAAACACAATATCACAAAATATAATCAACAAATCACAATGAATTTTTGTAGGTTTGTTCTTTAACAATAGATAATTCATTTGAACTAAAATGACATTGAATCTTAATAGAATAAAAAATATACATAATTTATTATGTATGCGTTAAAAAAAAAATACCAAATTGAGAATAAAAAACAAATAATAAGCAATAAATACATTTAATTATTATAAGATTTTAGTTCAAATGAACTTTATATGTATACTGAAGATACTGTGAAAATTTCAAGTAAATTGAGTTTTTCTAACTTAAGATATTTGGTTTTGAAGTTACAAAATCTTGCAAAAAATCAAAGTTCAATAAAACGCAAAATAAAGTTGTAATATGTTTAAAAATATATATACAATATGTTTAAAACCCTCCTGATACATAAAATGATGTTTTATTTTGACTTTGTTTATCAGAGTATCTTTTTTTTTATTGCTCTGAGACTTTTTCTTCTATTTTTTACTTTTTCACTTGACTTGATCTCCATGCTCTTTACACAT